ATCGTACCCGCTGATTTCTACGGCCCATTTGGCTAGCCGCCCCGAGAGTTCGGTCTTATGCATTATATTTTGCAATGGGTAAGTTGTCACAACACATTTAGGGTGGCACTGAAAGTACGATTTTATTTTCCTAGAGGCACTTAGCAAAGTGAGCGCCAGTTTTTCCAAGTGAGGATATCTAGTTTCGGCCTTACCTAAGGTCCGGCTAACATAATAAATCAGAAATTACGTACCTTGTTCTTCCCGAACTAGGACTCCACTTACCGCTATCACTGATACTGCCAAATACAAGTATAGTTGTTCGTCCGCCTTCGGTGTGTGAAGTAGTGGCGGGCTCGATAGGTACCGCTTTAGTTCTTCCAAAGCCCGTTGGAATTCCGGAGTCCATGTGAAGTTTTTTTTCTTCTTTAACAACGAGAAAAATCGATGACTCTTGTCAGAAGACCTTGAGATGAACCGTCCAGGGGCAGCTATGTGCCCAGTTAGCCTTTGTACGGCCTTCACATTGTCCACTACTGTGATATCCTTGATGGCTTTGATCTTGTCGGGGTTGATCTCGATTCCCCGGTTAGATACCATGAACCCAAGAAATTTACTCGATCCGACTCCGAACGCGCATTTTTTCGGATTCAGCTTCATGTTGTATTTCTTCAGTATAATGAAGGTTTCCTGCAAAGGCTTTATATGGTCCTCTGCTTGCAGGGACTTAACTAGCACATCATCAATGTAAACTTCCATAGATTTCCCTATTTGTTCTTTGAACATTCGATTTACTAGGCGTTGGTAAGTGGCACCAGCATTTTTAACCCAAATGGCATTACATTATAACAGTATGTGCCGAACTTAGTGATGAAAGAGGTTTTTTCTTGATCATCCAAGTTCATCCGTATTTCGTTGTACTCGGAATAGGCATCGAGAAAGCTGAGGATCTCGTGGCCGGCCGTGGCATCGATCATGTGATCGATGTTAGGCAACGGGAAAGAGTTTGTGGGGCATGCCTTATTTAAATCCTTGTACTCCACACACATTCTCTGTTTATTCCCTTTTTTAGGGACTACCACTACGTTTGCTAGACATTCCGGGTATTTGACTTCCTGGATGGACCCTATTTTAAGGAGTTTAGTTACCTCGTCCTTGATGAAAGCATGCTTGATCTCGGACTGCGGTCTCCTTTTCTGCTTGACCAGATGAAATCTCGGGTCTAGGCTTAGTTTATGAGTGGTGATCTCCGGTGGAATCCCTATCATATCGAGTTGAGACAAAGCAAAACAATCCATATTAGAAATTGAGATGGGACCAAGCAGGGGACTGACAAAGACGAGATGGGACCAAGCCATAAGATATTGAATGAGCTTTTTCCTGAGCTCGAGTGTTAATCTCGTGCCCATGTATACTTTTCGATCGGGCAGATGTTTGATCAGTATGACTTGATCCAACTCTTCGACCGTCGATTTAGTAGCGTCAGAATCATCAGGGACTATGAAGGATCGAGGAACCCCGTAATCATCGTCTTTGTCAGTCCCCTGCTTATCCTGTTGGGTCGAGGCCGACGTCAGTGATTATTATTTGACTTCCCGTTTTGTTTTCGAAACTGGCTCCTCTATCGATGAGAATGTCGATACTGGGATTACTTCATGGATGAAAAATATTTCCTTTGTGGCGGGCTGCTCCCCATACATTGTTTTAATTCCCTATGGGGTCGGGAATTTTAACACCTCGTGAAGGGTCGAGGGCACAACTCTCATGTTGTGGATCTAAGGTCTCCCGAAAAGAGCGTTGTACCTCATGTCTCCCTCGATCACACAAAACTTGGTCTCCTAGATGGTTCCGGCTGCGTTTAACGGCAATGTTATTTCTCCCTTAGTGGTTTCACAAGCCATGTTAAACCCATTTAACACTCGGGTTGCAGGTATGATTTGGTCCTGTAGGTCGAGTTGTTCTACGACCCTCGATCGAATGATGTTGGCCGAGCTACTTGGATCAATTAGAACACGTTTAACTCGAGTTTTATTTATGAGTACAGATATTACCAGTGCATCATTATGGGGCAGCGTGATTCCTTCTACATCTTTGTCGTTGAAAGATAGAGTTCCTTCTGGCATGTAATCTCGAGTCCGTTTTTCCCTCGTGATTGATACTTTGGTGCGCTTAAACATCGGGCCTTGAGGAACATCGACCCCTCCGATGATCATATAAATGACGTGTTGAGGTTCCTCTTGCTCATTTTTTTTTATTTGAATCCCTTTTAATTAAATGATTCTAGGCTCGGTCGCTCAGGAGCTCCCGAAGGTGCCCGTTGTTGAATAACCGGGCTACTTCTTCTCTAAATTGCAGACAGTCTTCTGTTCTATGGCCATGGATGCCATGATATTTGCACATTTGGTTAGGATCTCTTTGGTCTAGATCGGTTTGTAGAGGTTGAGGCCATCTGATATATTTGATACGTCCGATAGCTGATACGATGTCTGTTGCGTCAACACTAAAGTTGTACTCTGATAACCGAGGTACCCCTTTGGGTCCGATGGGCTTGTCGAAGCCATTCTTACTCATGAGCCCTCAAGATCTTTGACCTCGATCACTTCTCCTTTTATTTCGTACAGGATTCCACCTAGGTCTGCCGCTCCTGCGATCTCTACTATATGGCTGATATCATTCTCTGTTCGACCTCGGTTCTCGGTCGATATCCCTCTTAATTCTATCGATGGGTCTGATAGGATAAATGGACCCAAAAAGAGCCCTGAGTTGGTCGTCTTCGAACCTGATCTTCGATTGATACCAATTATGTACATCGGCCCAAGTGACAGTCGAGTATTCTATCAGATTCTACTTCAACTGTTCTAAAGCCACCGAGCTTCGAACATTGAGTCCTTAGGTGAAAGCTTGAACTGCCCAATCGTCGGCGACTGGTGGTAGGTCGATCCGTTCTATTTGGAATCGAGACACAAATTCTCTGAGCATTTCGTTGTCCTTTTGCCTTACCTTGAAAGGGTCCGATTTCCTGGTTTCGACCTTCATGGCTCCGGCGTGTGCCTTCACGAAAGAATCTGCAAGCATAGCAAACGAGCCAATAAAATTAGGTGGTAAATTATGGTACCATAGCATAGCCCACTATGACAGGGTCTCTCCGAATTTCTTTAGCAAGACTGATTCGATCTCGTCATCCTTTAGATCATTCCCTTTGATAGTGCATGTGTAAGAGGTGACATGCTCGTTTGGGTCGGTCATTCCGTTGGATTTAGGAATTTTGCGGATTCGGAATTTCTTGGGAATCGGCTTGGGAGCCACGCTTGGGGAGGAAGGCTTTTACACGAACTTTTTGGAGTCCAGACCCTTCAATATCGGTGGTGCCCCCGGAATTTGATCGACCCTGAAATTATAAGTTTCCACCTTCTTATCGTTTTCCTCGATCTTCTTTTCCCCCGACTCAATTCTTTTTGTCAACTCTTCGAGTATCTTCATGATTGCAGGGTCGGTCCCCGATTCTTTCTCATTCAATTTCCTTGAAGTGGATTCGACCCTGTGCACAACTTCTTGGGATGGCTCGGTTTCGATCTGGTCCGGTGGGCTATTCTGGTTTTGGAGTTGGGCTATCGCTGCCTGTTAAGCCTGCAACATTTCGAAGATTATTCGCAGGCTAATCCCACCCTCTTCGCCGCCATGGGTGCTTTGAACGGCTGATCGAACATCCTACGGACACTACCCTCACGATCGACGGCCAAATTTGCGTTGATGGCTACATGCGAACTAACATCAATCGGATCTATAGCCGGAACTCCATCGAGATCGACCAGAGGTACGTCATTGCCTTGTGCTATGTTGTCATTCTCGCTGTGGTGGCCGGAATCATTATCAACGTGAAGGGATGTTGATTGTGAGTTTGACATTTTGGTCCTGAAATCAAAAACACTCCAAATAATAAGTGTAAAATAGTGTGTGTTATGAAAGTTTGCACCAAATAATCACTATTATCCTTAGCCCCACGGTGGGCGCCAAACTGTTTTCCCTCAAAAACAGATAACAATTGAATTTGTACGCAGTTTTAAGGATACGTGATATAACTTGGCACAAATTAAGAAGACAGATTAATATTGAAATTGACAATAGAAGAATAAATGCAAACCACACGTATCGAATTGCCTTGGCCCTCGATTTTGACCATCATCGAACCAAAGATGTTTCAACTGAAGTATGAACAGGTTAATAGAGTAACAAGATAATAAAAGCTAGAAAGTGACTGTATATTGCTTTATGTTGCGTTCATGTCCTCCACTTTATAAATGATCCGACCGCTTTATATAGTAGGGGTGTCCTACTCTTGGTACAATTCTATACAAGGTAATAATCTTATGATTTGCTAATTATTCGGCCCCTCCTTGATACGCGCCGAGATTTTTGCCATGATTTACAACCGATCGCGGATACTTCGTCTTTCTGTTATCCAGCTTGGCAAATTACCCTCGATCTCGCCTGGTCTCTATTTTGCCTGGTCCCGAGGTCGGAACTCACCTTGGTTCGATACAATTCCTGGTCGAACCCTAACTGATCATATTCCAGTCTCGATTGGTCACATAAGAGGCGAGTCCGGTTTTTACTGTATACATAAGTGGAATTAAAAATGAGAAATACAAAAAAAAAAAAATGTACATTCTCACGTCACCAAAGAGGCGCAAATACATAAACGTATTTGGAAGAGCAAGCCCTTCCTGTTTGTAGCCTCTTTTATGATAGTTGTAATTAACGGTGAGGACAACGATAACTTCGTCTTGTCCCTTTTAAATTGTAGTAATATGTTAATCGAAGAATGTTCACTGCCCAATCATTTTTCTCCTTTTTCTTTTTTTTTTTTTAATCTGGAATTATACTTTGCACGCACAGGACAACCCTCATAACCACAAAAATGCGAGTATGATGGTAGTTAGTTAGGGAGCAGAACGTGCAAATATAAACAACTTTAATCCAAATTCAAAGGAGAGGAAATTACCATGCATTGAGGTAGTACAACTGCTACTGCACAGAGAAACATCAATCCCTATTGTGCAATGCAAATTGAATCACGAGAAATCGAAGATGGCAGAGGGAATTACGTACAAATTTCCCAAAGATGTGGTGATCTATATAATTTTGAAGCTTCCAATAAAATCTGTTTTGCAATTCAAATGTGTCTCTAAATCATGGTACACTCTCATGCAATCATCGATATTCATCAATCTTCATCTGAATCGTACCACCACTGCCGATGATGAAATCATTCTCTTCAAGCGCTCCTTTAAAGAAGAAGCCAACCAATTTAGAAGTATCATGTCTTTCCTATCTAGTTGTGATGACAATGATGATTTTTACCATGTTTCTCCAGATCTAGATGTTCCATATTTGACTACCACTACTTCTTGTGTTTTTCACAGATTCATGGGCCCTTGTCGTGGTTTAATTGTTTTATGTCGTGGTTTAATTGTTTTAATGGATAAAGTAACTACAGTATTATTTAACCCATCTACTAGAAATTATAGGCTATTGAAACCTAGCCCTTTTGGTAGTCCACTGGGTTTCCATCGTTCCATTAACGGTCTTGCTTTTGGTTTTGACAAGATTGCAAATAAATACAAGATCGTTAGGCTTGCAGAAGTTCGTGGGGAACCTCCTTTCTATTGCTTTACTACGAGAGAGTGGAGAGTTGAGGTTTATGAATTGAGTACTGATTCATGGAGAGAGGTAGATGATGTGGATCAACAGTTGCCTTATGTGCATTGGAATCCTTGTGCCGAGTTGTTTTACAAAGGGACCTCTCATTGGTTTGGAAACACAAATACAGTTGTAATTCTTTGTTTTGACATGAGTACCGAGACTTTTCGCAATATTAAAATGCCTGATACTTGTCATTCCAAAGACAGGAAGTGTTATGGGCTCGTAGTCATGAAAGATTCTTTAACGTTGATTTGTTACCCCTATCCAGGGTGTGAAATTTATCCAGCAATAGATTTCATGGAGATTTGGGTAATGAAGGAGTACGGTGTGAACGAGTCTTGGAGTAAGAAATACACAATTACACCTCTCGCGATAGAATCACCGTTGGCAATTTGGAAGGAGCATATATTGTTTCTTCAAAGCATAAGTGGACATTTGATTTCCTATGATCTTAATTCTGATGAAGTCAAGGAATTAGGCTTGCATGGTTGGCCTGAAAGTTTGAGAGTAACAATTTACAAGGAAAGCTTGACTTTAATTCTAAAAGGAAGCGAGCATTGTATAGAAGTTCAATAATTTTGTAGAGGATTAACTCTCTTACTTAAAGAGCACCACCATTTCTACTACATGCCCTTTTGGGACAACTTTTACAGCTTTCCTTTATTTTTGCGGTAAGTAGCTTGTTCCTGAATTAGTTCAGTTATTACTAATGCTTATTGTGCCACTAAATATTCGTTGTGTTTAAATTTGGTAAAAGCCTCTTAAATACAGCTTTCTGAGATGTGTTCCAAAAATATGGATTGTGTATGTACATGTTATAATTTCAAGTCATGATTTATGTGGAAGTTATTATGCAGAGTTGTGTAGAGATTGTGATTGTGATACACCTCCACCCGTATATATTGGGGTGAGGCGGCATGACCGCTTTGTGTATGGATTATGGTATTGTGGGATTGCACCTCCACCCACATACATTGGGGAGAGGAGGTACAACCGCTTTGTGTATAGTTTTGGTATTGTTGTGGCACCACCACCCACATATATATATTGGGGTGAGGCGGTATAGCCGTTTTGTGTAGGTATTGGTATTGTTGATGCATTTCTACCCGCATACATTGGGGTGAGGCGGTATAGCCGCTTTGTGTAGGTTCTTGGTACTGTTGTTATGCCTTCACCCTCATACATTGGAGTGAGGTGGCAGGGCCGCTCGAGTAGAGTTGTGGTATTGTGCTTACACCTCCACCTGCACACATTGGTGAGGCGGTGGGGACACTTTATGTAAAGATGGTTATAGAGGATCTCATCTTAAATCCTATAAATGTTATTGATAGCTCCTAATAAGCTTGCTCTGGTTTAAACGGTTATCTATATTATTCTATTGCTGCCCGGATTCATCATATTCATATTATATTTCCGGATTCTGAAATTAGTGTTTGGTTTTCATACTAGTACTATTTGACGGTACTAACATCCCTTTTGCCGGGGGCGCTGCATCTTTAAATGGATGAAGGTGGTTCCACAGCAGGAGATATTGATCAGTGATAGCAGTACACCTTCTTCCCAGCTGATTTGGTGAGCCCCACTTCATCCCGGGGGTTATGTATTTTTGTTCTTTGTGTATTCCGTTTGAGGTATAACCAGGGCCTTGTTGCCGGCATTATCATTGTACTATTCATTATCTATAGAGGCTCCATAGACATAGTGTGGGTTGTGTATTGGTGCTGGGAAAGACAAACTATGTTATGTTGTGGTTGTATTACTTGTCCCATTTGAGACTTTAAAAAAGATGAAAACTAATGGTAATGAATTGGTATTGTAGACATGGTCACATTTTTGTTTAATTAATGAAAATCTGTATTATATTCATTCGTGGGTGTGTTTGGGTAGAGGAAAATCTAACAGGCTTGCTCGGTCGGGTTCACTCGGTTGAGTGTCAGTCGCGCTCCTCGATTTTAGGGCATGACAAACTTGAACGCAAGTCAAGGAGGATTAGAAGAAATGGGTCAGCTTGGTGATATTGGGTCAGGATAATAATAAAGGTAATTGATTCCTTTTACGTGCTGATGCATTATCATTGTTTTGTGGCTAACTTTTGTGTTGGACGGCTTACATGACTTGGTTGAGTTGGGTAAATTCAGTTCTGATGGTTTATTTATGTGAGGACGTGTTTTGAAGAGTTCTTGATAGTGTATACCACTGCTTGAGCTAGATGTCTACTGTTGGCGTAAGGAATATGTTGTGTATGGTGGTCGATGCCTTGAGTAGATAAGCCGAGAGTATGTGTAATTTGGCATATTTACCGGCAGTAGAGAGGCCACTAGCCATGGATGTTCATGCCTTGGCCAATCAGTTTGTGAGACTGGATGTTTTGGAGCCCAGATGGGTTCTTGCATGTATGGTTTCTTGGTCTGCTTTGTATGAGCGCATCAAACCGTGATAGTATGACGACCCCCATTTGTTAGTCCTTAAGGACACAGTGCAACACGGTGATAAGGAGGTTTCTATTAGAGATGAGGGGATGTTACGGATGCAGGGCCAGATATGTGTGCCCAATGTATATGGGTTGCATGAGTTGATTATAGAGGAGGCCCACAGTTTGCGATATTCCATTCATCCGGGTGCATCCAAGATGTATCTGGATTTGAGGGAGCATTATTGGCGGAGAAGAATGAAGAAAGACATAGTGGGGTATGTGGCTCGGTGCTTGAACTGTTGGCAGGTGAAGTACGAGCATCAGAGGCCACGCGGTTTGCTTTAGAGACTTGAGATTCTCGAGTGGAAATGAGAGTGTATTACCATGGATATTGTTGTTGGGCTCCCACAGACTTTGAAGAAATTTGACGCAGTGTGAGGCATTATGGATAGGTTGACCAAGTCGACACATTTCATTCTAGTGATGACTACCTATTCTTCAGAGCAGCTAGCCCATATCTAAATATGTGCGATTGTTCGTCTCCACAGTGTGCCGGTGTCTATTATCTCTGACCGAGGCACGTAGGTCACATCGTATTTTTGGAGAGCTATGCAGCGTGATTTAGGGACACGGGTTGGTTTGAGAACAATATTTCACCCCAGATGGACTGGCAGTCCGAGTACACCATTCAGATCTTGGAGGATATGCTGCGTGCATGTGTTAAGGATTTCGAGGGTTAATGGGACCAATTTCTTCTGCTTGCTAAGTTCGCCAAGAACAACAACTACTAATCGAGTATTCAGATGGCTCTTTTTGAGGCCTTATATGGGGGNTAAAGTCAAGTTGATTTAAGATCGGCTTCGTACAACATAGTCTAGACATAAGAGTTACGCTGACCGGAGGGCTCGTAATATAGCATTTATGGCGGGAGAGAGGGTTTTTCTTATGGTTTAACCCATGTAGGGTGTGATGAGGTTAGAAAGGAAAGTTGAGCCCTAGGTATATTGGTCCTTTTAAGATCCTTGTGAGAGTTGGTGAAGTGGCATACAAACATGCATTGCCACCTAGCTTATTGGTAATTCACTCGGTGTTCCCTATTTCCATGCTCCAGAAGTATTATGGTGATCCATCACATGTTTTAGATTTCAACTCAGTACAATTGGATAAGGAGTTGACTTATGTTGAGGAGCCGGTGGCTATCTTAGACAGGCAGGTCCGAAAGTTGAGGTGAAAGATCATTGCTTTAGTGAAGGTTCAATGGAGATGTCATCCGGTCGAGGAGGCGACCTGGGAGATCGAGCATGACATGCGGAGTCGTTATCCTCACCTTTTTGTTGCTTCAGGTATGTCACTATGCACGTTCGAGGACAAATGTTTTTTTTAAAAGGGGGATAGTGTAATGACCCGACCAGTCATTTTGTGTATATGAGCCCCGATTCAAATTTTCATGCTTCGCACATGTGTATTTATGGTTTTATGACTTGCAAAATTGGTTAGTTTCGTTCCGCAAAGGTTTCAGGTTGATTTGGACCCTTTTAGTTCTTGGTTTGGAAGCCTAAGTTTATAATGTTGACTAAAGTTTGAGTTTTGTGAAAACAACTCCGAAACGGTATTTTGATTGCTCCAATAGGTTTGTATCATGATTTTTGACTTGGGCATATGCCCGGAGTCGAATTCGGAGGTCCCTAGGTTGATTTGTCTTGTTTTGCCGAAAGTTGGTCATTTGAGGTTTAGAAGTTTTTCCAAGTTTGACCATAGGTTGACTTTTTGGCTATCGGTTTGAAATTTGGTTTTGGGACATGGAATAGGTCCGTTTTTCTATTTGGAACTTGTTTGTAAAATTTGGTGTCATTTTGAGTTGGTTTGATAGGATTTAAATGCTTGGTTGCATTTTTTAGGTTCTTGATTTTCTTTTGAAATTCATGTGTTTTGATATCTGATTTATCGTTCTAGTTGTTATTTTTGTGTTTTGATCGAGCGAGTGAGTTCGTATGATATTTTTAGACTTGTGTGAATGTTTGATTTGTAGCCTCGATGGCTCGAGTGAGTTTCAGACGTGTTTTAGAATGGTTTTGAATTGATATATGTTGTTGGTGTGCTGGTGCCTCTGATGTTGCAATCGCGAATACCAGCATCGCAATTGCGAATAATGAACTATGCCTGTTAGTGTCGCATCTGGGAGTCGGGATTTTATCTCATTTTAGAACCCTAGACTCGGTAGGAGGTGATTTGGAGAGGGATATTCCTTTACAATCATTAGGTAAGTGATTCTTGGATGACCCAAAAGGTCATCTTATGTTAGAACTTTATTCTTCGCTCTTAAGCCTTAAAAATCCCATTTTTACCCTCCCCGATTTGCGTGCACAGTCCGATCGTGTTTCCGAAAAACTTTTATGTTGAAACTTGATGAAAATAAGAATTTTTACCTTAAAAGTTGATTTTAGTTGACTTCAATCAACATTTTTAGTAAACAGGCCCGGATCCTTGTTTTGACGATCTTGTTGGGTTCGTATCGAATTATGGGACCTGGGCGTATGTCCGGAATCGAATTCGGAGGTCCCTGGCTCGAGTTACGAATTTTTGATGAAAATTAAAAGTCTGAAAATTTAATTATTTTTAAGAATTGATTGATGTTTGATGTTGTTAGTACCAGATCCGTATTTTAGTTCCGGAGCCCGGTACAGGTTCATTATAATATTTAAGACTTGTCTATGAAATTTGGCGAGAAACAGAGTTGATTTGACGTGATTCGGACGTCTAGTTGAGAAGATAGAAATTTTAAAGTGTTCTTGAGAATTTTATTTGATTTGGGGCTAAATTCGTAGTTCTAGGTGTTATCTTGGCGATTTGATCGCGCGAGCAAGTTCGTATGATGTTTTTAAACTTGTGTGCATGTTCGGTTTGGAGCCCCGAGGGCTCAGGTGAGTTCCGGATTGGCCATGGGATGTTTGGACTTTGGAAAATATGGTTTTCTACAGATTCTGGTGCCTTCTAGTTTCCTTCTTCGCATTCGCGAAGGCATTCTCATGAATGCGAAGTAGAAACTGGGATGGCTGATTTTTACTCTTCGCGAACGCGAAGGCCTAGTCGCGAACGCGAAGTGATGGGGGATTTACCCTTCGCGAACGTGACTGGCTCATCATGAACGCAAAGCATTTGGGGACCTGGGGGAGGGTCGGTCTTTCCTTCATCACGAACGCGAGCAATGTCTCGTGAACGCGAAGACCAGGGGGGAGCAACCATCGCGAACGCGAGCAAGGTCTCGCGAACGTGAAGGCTTGTCAGCCTATACTCTTCGC